GATCCCAGGACCCTGGGATCATGACCTGAGCCGAAGGCAGACGCTTAACGACTGAGCCACCCAGGCGCCCCAGGAATTATTTTTTTTAAACAGGCAGTAATTTAAGGAAATAGAACTGAAGTTAATAGAAAAAATCCATAACACCAGAAGCTTGCTGTTTGAAAAGATTTACAAAAGTAGTAAGTAACAAATAACCAATATGGAATGAAAAGGGAGACATCACTGTAGATCCTATAGATGTTAAAAGGTAAGAATATATTACCACCAACTCTGTGCTAGTAAATGTGAAAACCCGGATGCAAGAGAGGAATTCTCTTAAAAATACAATTTACTGAAATGGACACATAAATAGTTCTGTAACTCTTAAATTTGAACCCATAATGTAAAATCTTTTCAAAAAGAAAACAATTGGCCAGGATTGGTGTACCAGCACATCCTACAGGACATTTAATGAAGAGACTGCCACCAACTTTACACAACCTCTTAGAGAATCATACAGGAAGAAACACTTTCTGATTTGTTTTGAGGCCAACACAACCTGGATAACAAAACCTAGAAAGGACATTTCAGTAAATGTGCTGCTGAAGCAAGCACAAGAGGATATTTTGAGAATGGAAAATTATTGGCCACTTTCAGTCATGAGATTCAAAAGATGCATAAGATGCAAAAATTTTAGACAAATTATCAACAAACTAAATCCAGCCCCCAAGACAAATCAACGAAAAAATCAGGATAATTTATCATGACAAAGTTTGTTATAGCCCAGGATTGTGAGATTTGTTTATAATAAGTCAATCAATGTAATTTATTAACAACAGAAAAGGGGGGATTATCTCAAACCCATAAAATGGGTTTGATGAAACTCAATTTCATTCATAATTTTTTGAAAGAGAATTTGCCACAAACCAGGAATACAAGGGATAGTCCTTAAGCTGACCCCCCCCCCACCTTTCCTGCCAAATCCTACAGGATATATACTTAATTGGAACATGAATGCCTACTTTTATTCAGCATTGAACAGGAGGTGTTACCTGGTCTGATCCACAGGTAAGATATTGGAATCAATAAGTGAGGTCAGCCAGACTGCAGGACCGAAGATCAGCAAACAAGAATCAATCTTATTACAGAATACTGAATGCAACAATACAACAAAGCAAAATGAATTTTAAAAATACGCCATTTTCAGTAGCATGAAAAATACAAAACACCTAGGATAAATCTAATTAAAGTTGTGTGCTACCTCCATAGAGTAAATAACTCATTGAGAGGCAGGAAACCTGAATAAATAGAGACATAAACCTCATTCATAGATTGGAACAGTCAGTATTTTATCCCTAACTTTGTCTATGAACTTGGTGTGATATCAATCAAAACCCCAATAAGTAGTAGTTTTATATGTGTAATTTGACAAATAGAGTTAAAATGTATATGCAAATTCAGTCAAGAATAGTCAACAGCTTTTAACAAGGTGGGAAGATTTGCTCTCCCAGCTAATTAGGACTTTTCAAGCTGCAGTAATTAAGACTACATGGCACCACTACAGAGATAAATAGACCAGTGGGACAGAATGGGGAGCAAGAAACAAATGCACGGGGCGCCTGGGTGGCTCAGTTGGTTGGGCGACTGCCTTCGGCTCAGGTCATGATCCTGGAGTCCCTGGATCGAGTCCTGCATCGGGCTCCCTGCTCGGCGGGGAGTCTGCTTCTCCCTCTGACCCTCCCCCCTCTCATGTGCTCTCTCTCTCATTCTCTCAAATAAATAAATAAAATC